CTTCCTCCCACCCCCGCCATTGGCTTCTTGCTCCATTTCTAACTTGTTCAGAGCCTCTTAGGGAGTGTGTTAGAGAGACAGAGAGAGGGAGGTGAGTCAGTGTCTGGCTGGGTTGTGTAAAACCTGCAGTGAAAGCTACCCCACCCCCGCTAGACAGTGGTGTTAGGGCTTTCCTTTGTGTTAGTCCTTCTTTTGAGGAATTTCGTGTGTCTTCCAAACCCAAAAAGTATCAGGGAAGTGGTCTACGATTTTTTTTTTTTTAACAAGAATAGGGGAGTCTGTTGCATGTATTGTCACTTGAGTTGTTCTACCTGAAGATATTTTTAGCTTAATTATGATGCTTATTGCATTTGAACAGATATCTGGAAACATGGCTACTGAACATGTTAATGGAAATGGTACTGAAGAGCCCATGGATACTTCTGCTGCAGTTACCCATTCTGAGCATTTCCAGACATTGCTTGATGCTGGTTTACCACAGAAAGTTGCTGAAAAACTAGATGAAATTTACGTTGCAGGTAAGATGTAAAACTTGCAAAACCACACTTACAACATTTTATTGGATTCTGCTGTCTTTGGGCTAAAATAGCAACTTTTTGTGGTTTCCAAAAGTATGGGAACTGCAGTCTTAGCAAAATCTGGATGTTTTCCGTTCAGTGCTTCAATTTGTCATAGTATTTTTCAGAGAAAAAGTCTTGGGCTAGGCCACTTGGGCTGAGGGGTGGGAAGGAGGAAAGGTATGTAGGTGACCGTAGTAACAGCTGGAATGGGCAACAGATGATTCTTAGGAAGAGTAGGTGTTGTGGTCTTTGTGCATTTTTACAGTAGTTGTAGGTAACTAAGTAACTGAAGCCTTGGTATTCATGTCGTGTAAATGACACTTTGACAGTATTTGGGCTCATGGATGCGAAGGTTATTGTATTGGTTCTCTCAGAAATGGTAATAGCTAGCATTTTTAAGCTTGATTTTTTGTATTGTGGTGGTCACTTTTAGTGCTGCAGTAGTTTATCTGGCTTTATAGTCTTCTCAGAATGCACCAAGGTGCCATTGCTAGGCAAGCTAAGTCAGGTTTTCATAGATCCTTCTGCATTCAGCTTCAGGATACCGCAAGTAAACTTGATCCGTGTAACATCTGGGTTTCACAGAAGTCAAATGAATACATAAATGCAGTAACTGTTAACTCTGAATCTTAACTTTTTTTGACACTTCATGAGGAATGAAAGATTAAATATTTACCTTTAAGAAGACTAAGCAATTTCTTAGCCATAGTAACTTGCATTAATCAGTGATTGATTTAGGGGTCACCGAAACGTGTTAGATTTGTTAAATGTGGTTAAACAAAGATTGCTGCCCAAATATAATTAGTATTTTTTTTTCTTTTCTGTAGGGCTAGTTGCACATAGTGATCTAGATGAAAGAGCTATTGAAGCTTTAAAGGAATTTAATGAAGAAGGTGCATTGGCAGTGCTTCAGCAGTTTAAAGACAGTGATCTCTCACATGTTCAGGTAATGTTAAACAATTTAGAATGTGATTGTTGAAGGATAAACTGTTAGTTGACTGGCAAGAGGTTTACTTAAGTCTCTTCAATGATCCATATGGGATGTGCAAAATGGGCACTATATTAGTTCAAGGTAAAAGTAGATTCTGACTTGTCATGTTTTTGGAACTGAAGATGATACATCTTTTGCAGAACAAAAGTGCCTTTTTATGTGGAGTCATGAAGACATACAGGCAGAGAGAAAAACAGGGGACCAAGGTGGCAGATTCTAGCAAAGGACCAGATGAGGCAAAAATTAAGGTATGTGCCTAAAAGATAAAAGTCGTGGCCTGTGTCTGTGGTTTTTCAAAGCTATTGTGACAGATACCTTGATTCTTTTGGAACTGTGCTCTTCTTAAAAAGGCTATTTTAGATTATTTGTCACTATTTGAAAGCTGTCACTTGCATTTTTATCTTACAGTTCGTCCTCTTCAAGAGGAAACTTAACATACTGTTAATTACTGGAACTGAATGTATATAAAAGTGAAAAAGATTTGACCGTTTGCTTTATGTCTAGTTGAGACAGTTCTACTCTTTCACAGTTAAAAGTTTCTGAAAACTTGTCAGCTTAGATGTTTCAGTTCAGAATGTATAACTTTAACTACTAGTGGTTGTTTTTTGGTTGTTTCTTTGTTGTTTTTTTTTTCTCCTTCAGTTCAGGTTTAACGTAACCCCACAATAGGGAGGACATACTGTCACGTGTGTCTGAAAAGACAGATTGTAATGGATTTAGGATTTAGCCCACTTCTTACAACATAATCACTGGTCTTATAAACTGTACCCCAAATTGTCTTAGCAATGGACACTTTATTTCTTGGACTGAGTCTTCTGCTGGCAAGAGACTCTTGTTTTGAGTTAGGCATACTATGATTTATTTTAAAAATATGTGATGAGCAACTTTATCAAGGCTTAAGGAAAGGAAAACCATCTAAGCATGCTTGATGTCTTAAAAAGTGAGAGAATCTTTCATCTTTAATTTTTAATGTGTAAACTGAAAAATGAATGTGTTATATATTACAAATAACTGTAGCTTGTAAAACTCAGAAAATCTTTTTTGTCCTGACTTTGAGGTTGGTATGCCATTAATTATAACTTCAAAAAAAACTGATACAGTTTTTGTCACTACCACATAAAACAACAATATGAGGACTTAGTTAACTAACTTAAAGTAGCATAGCTTTTAGTGCTGATGGCTATAGCATCTATAATAACTTCGCAGTTTCCTGGTTGTGAAAGTACTAACTTCTGATTGTAATTAGGCATGTTTAATGTGCTGTTTCTTTGTGTGTAGAGTTGATTTGTCTTTGCACAAAATTATTAAGAAAGACTAACTTCAGAGGAGTTTCTCATTACATGTTTGCATACTGAATTTCATCTAACACTTTAAATTGGTAGTGTATCTGTAACTGTATGCAGTGATTCTAGTGAGGGTCAGTTGTGCTGGGATGCTGTATGTGCCCACAAGGAATTTGAGGGGGGTATGGGGGAAGTACGATAGGAGAAAGGAAGTAGTACTGCTACTTCAGTGGTGGGATACCTGAAGCAGTCAGTACAGTGTTCTAGGGGTGTAAGCACTTAAACATGTGTTCTTTAACTTCACACTCATGAGTAATCTCATTAAGTGAAGGGAACTCCTGTGCATAAATGTTTGCAGGATTGGACATGCCAAAACAAGAAGTGTCTCAGACTAAGATCTTTCTAATTAAAGGGAAGCTTGCTCTTGTATTACTTGGCCACTTTTTTTGTATGAAGATGAAGGAATTGGGAAAACTGAGTGTGAATCTCTAATTTTCTAGCAGTGTTTCTCTACCTGATAGTTTTAATAATTGTTTTGCAAGTTTCTTGTTGAAGTACTAGTAGGCTTGTTCTCCTGTGGGAGTTTCAAAACAGTACAGTTTAAGAGGAGTTGTAAGTGTGTCTGTGAATGAAGTGCATCTAAACTAGCTCAATTTGTGTGTGATTTTAAAATTTTAAGTTTCTTACTTGAAGGCACTCTTGGAGAGAACCGGCTACACTCTTGATGTGACTACTGGGCAGAGAAAGTATGGTGGACCTCCTCCAGAGTCTGTATATTCAGGACAACAACCTTCTGTTGGTACAGAGGTAAGGAGAAGGAGATGTTTATGTAGATGTCTTCTTATGAATTGGAAGCGTTTTTTTGTAAATAACACTCTGTATGTCTGTCGTAGATATTTGTGGGCAAGATTCCAAGAGACTTGTTTGAAGATGAACTTGTTCCATTATTTGAGAAAGCTGGCCCTATATGGGATCTCCGCTTAATGATGGATCCACTAACTGGTCTAAATAGAGGATATGCTTTTGTCACTTTTTGTACAAAAGAGGCAGCTCAGGAGGCTGTTAAACTGGTAAGTTTTCTTGTTCGAATTTTCTATTTTTTTTTTTTAAGAATACTTTCTGACTTGTAAGCAGTTGTCTTGATCTTAATGCTTAAAAGTTTAAGATGAAATTGTTGTTCTTAGATACTTTTTAAAGTGTCCACTAGGTGTTTTTAAATATTTCCACGTTGTACATACATTTTTACTGGCTTTATTAGGGACAGGGGGTAAAAAAAGCTGATGGACTGCTGTTTGGTCCAGTTAGATTAGTCTTCATTATTAACAAAAGTGCTAGCAGTAGTGACTTGTGAGCTGTGCATCTGGAAGCGTTGTGGGGAGAAGTGACGGTGGCTGTGGTACAAGGGAACCTTTGCTCGGGTTGTCTGTGCTTTCGGGTTCGCTGTGCACCAGCAGGGGGCCACGTGCTGGAGAAAAGGCTTCTGAAGTCGCAGAATTTCCTAAGATAACTTCAGCTGGGAAATAGTCACTCTTGAGTGGTAAAGTCTCTTTTGTTTGCTGCAACTGACTGGAAAAAGTCATAAATCCTGCCAGGTTAAAAGACTTTTTCTCTGTTTTACGGAGAGGTGTGAAATAGTTTGATCTAAGGAGCAGGCTACTCACAAGCTTTCCAGGTTTTATGGATGAAATATCCATCACTAAAAAAGAGGGGGAGAAAAGAAACACAACCCTGATCCTCACACTGCTCCTTTGTTTTTCTAGTTAAGCTGAATTTGAATTTGAGCTTGTTGCTGCTGCATTGACATGGCCAAGATGAGTGTGCGGTGTGATCCTCAGGAGTACTAACCATAATCATTTTGAGGTGTACTGATACTGTATTAATATAGTAGGGTTAAAATCTCTGTTTTGTAATAAGGTACATCTTAAACCATTAAGGTCTTCCGTTGACATATTAATAATGTAAGGCCGTTGGTAGAGACAGATCAAGCTGAAGATGAGAATGTGTTTTGAAAAGTATAGAAGTGTCTGCAAAAGCGGGCATGCAAAAGTATCTGGTGTATGCTGTTTAGCTTTTTAAATAAGAGCAGTTGATGTTCTTGTACACAATCCAGATGTTCTGAGGATAACTGCATATACTTCTTGGTACTTCGATTGTCAACCTAGCTGTTTATATTGTGTGTGAATTAAGTGTTGTGCACACAACTTAGCAAAGCAGTGAATCAAATCAAACGTTCTTAGAAGCATCTAGTAAACAAAAAAGAGTTTTTGTTCACTTAGCTGGACTTTGCTTAAAGGCAGCATGCTCAGAAAAGTCATTCAGGTTGTGTTTCCATAAAAGTAACATCAGATCCTGCCCTCAGTCTGCAACTAAATTATACAAGGGAAAGGGGGTACTCCGTGTCCCATTATAGCTGATCTTTGATTTGCAGAAAAAAAAACCCTGTTGTGTTCTGTTTTTCAGTTAAATAGCCACTGAGTGTAACAGTTGAAAAGTATTGTGATTGATGGGCAGTTTTTCAGTCTTTGTACTAACCTCTTTGAGGGCAGGGTTAGTTTTAAATTTCATCTTGTGGCATTTGTCAGCTTTTGAATGGTTCCAGCCATAGTTAGTTGGCTAGTTTGGTGTATTACAAGTTTGCTAAGTTGTCTAGGAGTGGTTTGCAGGGGTACTAGCAAAATATGGCTGTAGAGCTCAGTTGAAAACCTATCTAGTTGAGTCTGTCACTTGTATTAGTTACACATGCATGGGAGAGGCTGCTGGAAGACCTTTTGGAAATGCTGAACTCTTGGTCCTAGCCATTTTAATAGTATCCTAGTATTTTAACAGGTGGTGTTCTTTTTGATACTACCTGTAATGTTCTGATATGTATACAGCTTATTTCCCAGCTTTCTGGATTCCTTGAGATAGGGGTTCTTGTTATTTCCCACCTTCTTCACAGGAGCTTTTTTTTGTCCATTCAGGACTCAAGTATAGGAGGAATGAGTATAAAAATCTCTGCATTGCTTGTAGGCTTCTGAATAATAAGAGACAGCTACGAAGTTTTGTCAATACCCAAAAAGCAGCAGAGAATAAACTGACCTGTCTTCAGGCTCCTGCAGTTGGTGTAACGTATTTTGAATCCAATTCATATTTGTGTTGCTGTTATATCATCTACAGTCTTTATAACAACGTAATGTAGAACGGAACTAAAATTTTTGGATAAACTTAATGTTGACTTACCCCATTGATTAAGCAGAAGAAATCTTTCAGTTTAAAAGGTTGAAGCCTTGATGTTGTTACACATATGCATTTTGAAGCCATTTAGAGGAGACAATTCTCTAAATTGTGTTTGAAATACCTTTGAGGCTGTGCTTGAGACAAAAATGTAGTGATGCTGTGGCCCGATACTGAGAAGATTTACAGATATGAACAGTAATTAATTTTACGTCCAGTACTTAATCCAGTGTGGTTAACCCTTGCTGTTTAAGTAGAAATGGCATTTCAGATATTGTTTATGTAAGTGCTGACTGTGAGAAGTCCTTTTTTTTAACCTCAGACTATGTGTTTACCTGTGTTTCATACTGTTTAAGAATTATAACTTCTGTTGTGTTCTTTTCCACACATGTCCAATTGTCTCTCTTATTTCATGTGAAGTTGTTAGATTTCAGTTTTTCAAAAGATTTCTGGATGATTAAGGTCACTGTAGACATGTACAGGGTAAATACTACTTGTGAGTTGAAGCTTGTAGGAAAACATACTGAAAACTATAGTAGCATACAGTGTATTTTTGACTAGAGCAAGTGTAAGCTTGATCAAAGTGCAGGTACAGGTGAGTTATGCAAATATGCCTCTTAAGCAGTTTGCCAGCTCTGCATAGCAGCTTGACTTGCCATTTGCTGCTGGAAATAAACTGAAGTTGCTGGTGAAAGTTTTAAGTGGATAAAATGACAAGATAGACCTTACACGTACTTTGACCTGTTTATGAGTAGCACTTAGCAAAAAAAAAATCAATCTATTTTAGTGTCTAGAGCGTAGTAATATCTGTTACCAACTTCGGGCATTGATTCAGTGGTGACAGGAGGGGGAAGCAGTGTGCTGACGTAGCTAATTTGGTAGCCTGACTGTTTTGGCACTTTACTCAGATCATGATTTGGGCCTGTTGGTGTCTAATCTAAGTTTACAGATGATATGGAAAGTATTTACCTAGAAACCACAAACTCTATATTAAAGAACATCTAATTCAGTACTGCTTTGTCTGTGTTAAGAGAAACATACAATGAAAAGTAATAGTTAATGTATTGTAGTATGAAAACTTCTAGAAACTACTGTCAATGTGGAATTACAATATGGTAGAATATTTAAAATTTTTTTAAGTTGTGAAATATTATTTTGTTGCCTTGAGTTGTACGAGAGGCTCTCTTTAGGTTAAATGTGTAGCCAAACTTTGGACTTCCAACAGGAACATTTGGATAATATCTTCTATTACCTATATAGAATAGCATATTTTAGTTGGAAGGGACTTACAATGATCGTCTAGTCCAACTGCCTGACCGCTTGAGGGCTGACCAAAAATTAAAGCTTATTATTAAGGGCATTGTCCAAATGCCTCTCTTAAACACTGACAGGCTTGGGGCATTGACCACCTCTCTAGGAAGCCTGTTCCGGTGTTTGACCACCCTCTCAGTAAAAATAAATGCTTCCTAATGAAATAAATGTTTCCTAATGTACACTTCAGTTAACGAAGAATCATTTTGTGTCTCATTTCCAGACTAATAAACTGTCAGCTTTTTGAAAGGTGTTTCTTTAAAGGATTTCTTTATTTCTGTCTCTTCATTAATGTGTGTAAGTCTGTTTATTGGTGATCATAAATATAATACACAGTCTTCCTATGCAGCTGTTTCCTATTTTAGAATCAACTAGTCCTTTGCCACGTGGGCAACAGATATGGAGATAGAAGTCTTTAACTATATGCTACTGTATTTTGAGGTGTAATGAGCTGGCAAGATGCCACCCCAGATGCTTTTCACATGTACAGTTGTCCTTTTGGCTCACTTCTGGTACAGCTGTCTAGCTTTGAAAATTTTCAGTGATGTACTTTCTGTTTGCAAGAGATAAATACAAATAAAAAAATCTTCACCCTGATCTTAATGCACAAAGCAGGAAGGGGTGTGGGAGAACTTGCTTATGCAGGAAGGTTTACCACTAAGCACAAAGTAACTCATAGAATAAATAGCTAGATTTAATTTAAAAAAGCTGTCCTACTACTTGTCAATAAGATGTTGACCACAAAGTATGTTTTCCTAGCTAAAGAACTGTCTGTTGCAGGGCTTCCAGTTGGAAAGGGGTTGATGTACCACCAGTTGACCTCCCTGCTGCTTATTTGGATGATGCATGTCTGTGTCTGCATCTCAATGAAAGGCATTTTTTGTCAACAGATGTCTACAGTAATACTTTTTTTTTTTCCTTAACTGCTGACTTGTTCAGAGTGTCTTCTAAACAATCTGTTATGGGAGAAGCATTTGAACAGAAGTCTTAGGATTTCAAGACAGTAGAAGGTTCTTCTTGCTGTTTACTATCTTTACATGCATAATCTATGTGCTTTGGAAAATATTTGCCAATTGCTTTTGCATATTTTGTGGAGAAGACTTGATCACGGCTCTCTTTCTTTTGTTAACTGTGGAACTTTAGAAGGGAATCCCATTTTAATTGTAACTACTCTTGGATTATACATGATTCCAGAATTCATAGGTGCAATCTGTCAAGGAACTTGGAATTTTTTCTGCACTGTTGTGAAGGGAGAAGCCTTGACCTTGATGACTTGGACTAAGATTTACCTTTCATGGTTCTACATGAAAAAGTCTCTAAAGAAATATGTATTAAGAAAGAGGCTTGAACAAGAAGGGAAGGATAGTTATTGTGTGAAATTGTTGAGATATCTTAGAGAGCATGGGTATAGTTTTGAACAGGTGAATATGCATTATAAGAATGTGCTAAGCTCCAAAGAATTTAATATATTACAAAATGCTGTGTTTGCAAAAGTGAAATATTTGGTATGCTGTTGTTGGATGGGAGTGAAAGTTATCTGTAACTGATGGTAGTCCACTTATTTTTCTTTCAGTACAACAACCATGAAATTCGTACTGGAAAACACATTGGTGTATGCATCTCTGTTGCCAATAATAGACTTTTCGTTGGTTCTATTCCTAAGAGTAAAACCAAGGAGCAAATTGTTGAAGAATTTAGCAAAGTAACAGGTAAGTCAATAACTATGTTTTGTAGACCTGGAGGGATGTCAGACATGATCAGTGATTAACCCTCTTCACTGTCTTTTGGCTTATGATTTAATGATGATGAATCCAAACAAAGACCACTTAGCATTTGTCTTGACTTCTGGGTTGTTGTGTTGTGTGTTGGTTTTTTGTTTAAATTGTTATGCTGAGGGCTGAAATATATATGATTGGACTAGATGTGTGATTCCAGGTTTTACCTAGGGAATAAGTGTGTAATGTTTAAAAAAGCCATTTAAAGAAACAGATGGTGTAATTATTTAAATACTAATGGATGTTTTAAAACTTCCAAGACAAAACTGAGGCAGGTTGGAGAGCATAACTAGTTCTATGCTTCAGAATTCTTAGTCATTTGATAAGGATCTCTTTTTTTTCTTTTTGATAATGGCATACAAACTGGCAAAGGCACCATTTGATGGCTTTATCTGCTACTGAATGATATAATTTAGGTTCCTTGGAGCAACACTGCAACTTTTTAGATGTCTTAAAATCATGCAGCTTTGACCTGTTGATGTTTAGATATCAGCATGTGTGTTTTCCATGGATAAATTGTGTGACAGAAGAGTTTGAGAGGAGAACTGACAAAGCACAACTTTTGGATGCCCTTACCTCTTCTCTGCTCAGTTAGAGGAAAGATACTCTTCTATAGCTACTAATGTGTCTTCACTTCATAAAGTGGAACCTAAGTCAGGATAGTCTAATGTCCTTTGAAAATGTTGTTCTTGAAGATAGGGAAACTTTAATATGTACATGGTCTCAAAAAGTCTAGTGTGTTCATGCTTTTTTGGAACCACTTGTCAGATGCATCCTTACCAGAAAGATGATACCTACTTTATAATACAGATCCATGTATTGAAGCCATAACAAATAAATATTTTGCTTAATTTCAGAGGGTCTTACAGATGTCATATTGTATCATCAGCCTGATGACAAGAAAAAGAACCGGGGCTTCTGTTTCCTTGAATATGAAGATCACAAAACTGCTGCTCAGGCCAGACGTAGGTTAATGAGTGGCAAAGTGAAAGTCTGGGGAAATGTTGTTACGGTTGAATGGGCTGACCCTATAGAAGACCCAGACCCTGAAGTCATGGCAAAGGTAATAAAGCTGTAAGGGAAACATAGCACATCTAAAGTGCCTTGTTCCAAAGTAAGTACTTCTGACATCAGCCTAAGTTTAAATAGCGTCTTTCAGCCTTCTTGACAGAGATGTTGTAGGTGAGATGATAAAAGTATGAATACACTCTAGAATTGATGAGAATTTAAAAACTGTATTGGCTGATACTATTTTGTGCTCCTAAGGCTGAATGTTGAACATCATTCTTGCTAAAATGACACATAGGCTTGATGTACTTAATTTCTCCACTGGAAGTGGTGGTGACGACTCCAAAAGTTAAAATGGTTTTGTAGCTTAATATTTGGAGGGACAGAAATTTAGATACCATCACAGAACAAGTCTTAGTTCCCTTTAACCCTGAGACTATTTAATCACTTCAGAATTGGAACATGTCAATAAGAAGCACAGACGTATTTTCAGAGTTGCATTTAGCAGTTACTTCTCAGAAGTTATGCAATTACTTTGTATTTGGAACTCTAATTTGCAGGGGTTAATTCCTTCAAATATTAAGACTAGTAGTAGTTTGAATTTCAAATATTTCAGTGAAACTCAAGTCTGAACTGTTGGCATTTTCAAGTACATTGTAGCAGTTGTTTTATATATGTGTGATATTTTGCCAGAAACAAATTGCCTGAAATTTTTTTCCGTCAGGTAATGTCCAACCCTGTCTTTTTTCAGTTACATTGTGTAGCTGAGTTGTTTAATGGAAACTCTTAGCCCATATCCTTATGTCTTTCTCTTTGCTTGCTTTTCATCTGTGCTTTTACTCTCATCTGAGACACGTCACTTGCTGGAGTCCTACTTTGATGGACCTAGTAAGATAGCTTGGCTGGGATCTCCTCTTTGGTGAGCCATAAGGGAAAAGGGTTGGGGTGGGGGCTCATTTTAGGGGAAAGAGCTGCTTTTGTAATACAGTTATTACAGAAGCTTTTGGACTACCCTGTCTGCAGACTTTATTTTTCTTGCTTGGCATCATAGACTGTCAGCAGCGGGGAAGAGTCTTGCAGGTAAAATTTGTTGAAGGTGGCACTTCATAAATACGGCGCCCTACCTATTTGTTGAATTTCTTGGCTCAAAAGAGAAGAGACCTAATTCAGCAAACTGTTAATTAGCAGGATCTTCTGCTGATGTGATGATGAGCAGGGAGTGATAGGGGACATCATCAGGTGTCTTTCCTAAGTAAATTTACAGATGTGGGGAGTGAAAGGCTAGAGAAGGTAAAGTGTGACAGTGATTTGCCCCATTTAATGCACAGTTTTGTGAATATGTTAATGCCTTGTGTTCTTTTGTATTTGAAATCATGCATGAAAAAGGAAGAAACATATATATAAGGAAAACGTGCAGAAAATCAACTTGTGTACTTCTAGTGCCACATGTCAAAAGATAGGTCATGGAGCTTGAGTTAAAGATGTATGGAAAAGTGAGACTATGTGAATGAGACTGCTGAATAAGTAGAGAACATCTAGCTTGTGTCTGAAGGCAGAAGTTGAGACAAGCATTGGTGTCTGACCTTTCTTGCTGGATTTGTCCCTGTTCTTGCAACAAGGAAGGTCTCTACTCCAGTCTGTCTTGACCACATACTGTATACTTGGAGAAACTGACCACATCTGGCACTTCTGGAAGTGTTAGGTTTACTTTCTCTTTTTTTTTTTTATTATTGCTGTCTTTTTCCTAACAAAAAGAGCAGCTGAACTGCTACTGTAGTCTGTTATCTCCCAGATGTGAGCTGCAGGTTGGCTGTCATTGCTTCTTAGTACTGTTAATCGGGAACAAAGGGAGAGCTGTTGACCCTTGTCATCTTAAACATTGCTATGGTAGAAAGCTCTGGAGAAAGCACTGTGAGTAGGAGTAGATTGCTTTTATCAGAATAATCATCTGATCTGGTGGTTTTCTTGTCAAGACTACTAGAAAATCAAGTCTATAAAAGCAAACTATGGGGAAGACAAGTTCACCTTTGTAGCTAGAAGCTGAACAGAGCTTTGTTCTAAATATCTTGCAGAAGCAGCATGTTGTTTCATCAATATATGTGCACCTATTAATTTAAATTTCTGAAATGTTTACTTGAGCTTTTTTTCATTTAGACTTTTGCTTAAATGTTGTTTAAGTACTGAGAGTACTGTATGGATGAATACTTAAAATTTAAATGGTCTGTTACCTTAAATATGAACTACTTTGAGCATGATGATGTAGAAAGCTAGATTCTGAAGCCAGGTGTATGTGCTACAGGAGATAAGTTCTTATACTGACAGGTCAGAGTATAATTGGTTAAGTAATTGATTTCTGGTCCAAAGTGAACTTTTTTCCAACTTCCAGTAGCTGTGTTTGTAGCTTAATTTCTCCTAAGTGTTATTTTGATGCCTCTTATACTTGTAGTGCAGTTAAATTTCTTAATGTTGTACTCGATTTCTGTAGCATGGCTGGGGCTACAGAGGACATTCTGGAGTGACAGGTTAAACAGCTAAATAAAGTCTTATGCTTGTGGCTGTGTGGAAGATTACAGGACAGGAGACAGGGCTAGTAACCCTTGGAGAATGTGGTAATGAAGTCCCAATTGTTTGTACTGTAGGTAATAGGAGCTGAAGTGTTTGTGCTGTAGGTAAGACTACCCCTCAGAAGTTTTAGGGGTTGTCTAATCTTAAGTAGTTTTAAAAGTGAGTTCTACTTCATGACAAAATGTTGCTGCTGGATATATTGCTTGTTAAGTGTGTATTTATGGATCCTTGGTGTTCTATTGGTGTTATGATTTATGAGCCTTACTGAAGAGGACTTCCCTTCCACCAACACCCCCTGACCTTTCCCTCTTTAGGTAGCTTAAATGAAGTAAAAATGGGTTCATATTCTTTCAACCTATTCTGTAACCTGCCTCCTAGCTTTTACATCACCTTTGACTGGTTCAGCTATGCTTTTCACCTGTAACATGACCAAAGGTGTTCAGCTGTTAGAGATTAAGAGCTTTGTCTACACTGGGGAAAAAAATTGAATTAGTTAGAATCATAGAATGGTTAGGGTTGGAAGGGACCTTAAAGATCATCTAGTTCCAACCCCCCTGCCATGGGCAGGGAAACCCTCCACTACACCAGGTTGCCCAAAGCCTCATCCAACCGGGCCTTCAACACTTCCAAGGATGGGGCATCCACAACTTCTCTGGACCACCTGTTCCAGTGCCTCACCACCCTCAATGTAAAAAATTTCTTCCTTATATCTAATCTAAATCTCCCCTCTTTCAGTTTGAATCCATTGCCCCTTGTCCTATCACTACAGGATAGGACAGTTGCTTTTTACTTCCGTGTCAGTGCATCTTGTAACAAAAAATGATGATTTTTGAGGTTTTTAATCATCTCTGACTCTGTATCAGTCATTGTGTATTTATTAGTGAAGGCTGCTTCCAGTTCCTCATGAGATTCGAGTTTTCATCCTTTCCTAAAGTACAAGAATAAGAAACATCTGTTTGAAAGTTACCAGTTTTTAGAACCATTGATTACATCACCAAACTTCCTGTAATTTACTTTCATGAAATAAGGTTAAGATAGCAATTAGGACAGTTTACTAAAAATAGTTATTACTTGTGGGTTACAAGAAATAAATGTTTTTCTTACTATCAAGCCATGTAGGAGAAGCTTAACACAGGACAGGAAGCAGTTTTCCTCGTGGAGCTGGCTGTGACTTTTATCATCATCTGAGAATCAGCAAGATTAACTATTGTCAAAGACTAGAGCTGATACACTTAGGTCAGACTTACGATCTGTAGTATCCCTTTTTCCAAACTCTGTGTCCCATCCTACTTCAGCTAGCAAGTGAGACAAAGATTTATGGAAGTCTGTCCTGTTTATTTGTAACTTAATTACTTAGTAATTCTTGCAAAAAGGGTGTCTGGGTTTATTGAGTTCCTGTATGTGGTTGGAGTAGAGATGATAGACCTGCTTCAGACCATGCTTTCTCTGGTCCCTTCGCACCCTGTGTTATTTGTGTTGACCTTCAGGGTTAGGAGCAGGAAGTCAGTGCTGCCATGTGCAATGTTCACTTTTTGTCATCAGCTAATTTGAAACCACTAGTAGTGGAGGGGACGTGAACAGAAGTTGCAGGTTTTTGCTGTATCATAGGAAGGTAAGACTCAGCATTCTTTGGCAGTAGAAGGTGACTAGACTGTCAGGGCGTGGTGGCAGCATATGGAAGGGACTCACTCCAACAAGTCTAAGGCTTGTAAATTGTGAGATCTCATGGATGGCATCTTGCAAACATGCTAACGTACAGTCATTTAGAGCAACCTCAGTGTGGGCACAAGGACGAGTCTTTGAATGGTAACGGGTCACTAACATACATGGTTCCTGGTGTCCAGTGTATGTTGTCTGCTATATTAAGCAAGAGTCTAGTTTAAGCTTTGTCAGACTGCTCTGTATTTTCTTTTATCATAAGCAGTTGGTGGTTGGTGAAACTTTATATTGATGACTTAGTCACTGTCAGGTGGTTAACAGGGCATATCTCAATAGTTGAAAGATAACCAACCCCTCTGATCTTATAAGCTGCGTAGCTGTCTTTGTGTAGCTTCAGAGCCTTATTGCATGCTTCGGAGAGCTGAGGGAGGGAATAGACTTTCAGAGTTATTTGGAGGTGGCTGTTCCTTGAGGCAAGGACACAGTTCGACTTGCGAGAAAGTCCAAGGGTGACTTGGCAGTGTCAGCCTTAGTATTCCCTTCTGTCTGCATTCTCTCTTCTGGCTGGGGATTCAGGTCGCTGAGTGCTCTTCAGGCAAGCATAGTCCTGATGCTGTGTATTTCGTGTAGCTATAGCATGGGAGCCACAAGTTAAGCAGCTTGAGAGCTGCAGGCCTGTCACCTCTGACCTAGATACTGTAGTGGTGACTGTTCTGCAAATACCTGAGCAAAAACCTGTCTAAACAATGAAATGTTTTGATAAGTTAATTATGTTGTGCATAACGAATCCTGGTTGCCTTATTTCAAGTATTCTGGGTTGAAAATTACTGCTGCTAGGATTCTTTTAAACATTAACACAAATTGGATTGACTTGCAGGATACTAATACTATGTAATTTTTGAAAACAGATTTAATTCAATCGGGGTATTTTAGAGCTAACTCATGCTGTATGAATATATAAATATACATATTCATGTATATAAAATGTAATGACGTTTTCAGTACTGCCAATAGCAGTGACTTGCAAAACTTCATTTTGTGTTTAGATCGTACTTTAAGTCCTTATTTTCTTTTCTTTCTTTTTTAGGTAAAAGTTTTGTTTGTACGCAATCTTGCCAATACTGTAACAGAGGAGATCCTAGAAAAGGCCTTCAGTCAATTTGGAAAGCTAGAGCGAGTGAAGAAGCTAAAAGACTATGCTTTCATTCATTTTGATGAGCGAGATGGTGCTGTAAAGGTAAGTGAAGAGGACTGTAACTGTGTATGTGTGTAAGTACTGGCTACACATAACACTTAGAAACTCTGTACTTCTTTTAACTTGAGGAAAAAGCCCTGTCTGGAGAAATGGTAACATGTTGTCACTGATAACTTTGCTCTGAGTGTCTCCTAGGAAGATGCAGTTGCTAGCTTGAAAAGTCAATCCGAGATCCACCTATCCTAAGTAATTCTGCTGATGAGTATCTAAGATAATCGTATGTGTTATCATTTGAAACTGAAGTGCCAGAAGTTGAATGACTCTTCTCAATAAATTGGTGGTAGATATCTAAAGCAGTTTCCCTAGGGCAGGTGATAAGAACTTAGGTAACCTTTTTATTTTCCAGGAACAGAATGATTTCATTTTTATGGTGTGTAATAAGCACCTTTTATTTTCATGAGAGGTGCTGGACAATTGAGTAATTGTCATTCCTGGATTCTGCTAGCCTGGTCTTGGTGTTTTTTCTTCTGTCATCTGTCTTTAGGAAAGGGCAATTCCTCTCTTGCTTATAGTGTATCTATTTTTTATGTTCTGTGGGAAGATGCAAGATACAAGGGGATTCAGTTTTTCTTACTCATCCAGATGCCTTAAAGCAGATGTTCAGGAAGATGATGGAGAGAGACTTCTCATATGATATGTATCCCATCAAGGCTTAGATATATGGAGTCTCTAAAAGTAGTAGAATCTTTAGGATTCCTCTGCTTGAATTTAACTTGTAGCAGATATTGTGACCCATGGGAATTGTACATGTGTGCCTGTTGGTGGGGTTTTTTGTCTTGTTTTTTGCTGGTGGTGGTTTGTTTTGGGTTTGTTCTGTGGTTAGAATGAGACTGTTAAATTCTAATTTTTGGCTTCTGGTTTAAAAAGAAAGTTACATTTATTACACGTTAAATAAAGGAATATACTGATCTCTAGATTTAGTAGTGTTTGTGTGTGTGCTGATGTTAGAAATTCATTCCCTTATTGCAAAACCTGTACTTTCAGAGGAAAGTTCCATCCCTTCATTAATTGAAACAGCTTGCAAAGATTGAAGCCTATTTACAGTTTCAAGTGGAAGACTTCTAAACTGATATATGCAGTCTTGGGTTTGAGAGCCAAGTTAAAAGGAAATGCATAACTCTGGAACCCATGATACTATGCTGTCCGATTATTTGAAAAAAAAAAAAAAATCAGCTTTATATTGTTATTTTAGCTGTGGATAACAAATTTTAAAATGCATGCTCTAAAAGATAGAATAAAATTTATAACTTCAGATATGCTTAGCAGTATATTTAAAGTCTGGTTAATTCCTTCAGGCAATGGAAGAAATGAATGGCAAAGATTTAGAGGGAGAAAACATTGAAATTGTTTTTGCTAAGCCACCAGATCAAAAAAGGAAAGAACGGAAAGCTCAGAGACAAGCGGCTAAAAATCAGATGT